ATAATAATAATAATAATAATAATGATAATGATAATAATTCGAACTCTTTTATTATTCAACAACGGGTATGTTAATGCAAAAAAATAAAATCAGCTAAATATAATTAAAAATGATGAAATAATACGAAAAGTCATCATTGCTCGTTGTTGTTGTTGTTGTTGCCCTTCCTAGGAGTCGGACTTGGGTTCAAGGCGAGGCCTGAGCCAGTTCGCCACCGTGACCGGGTTTCTCTACAGATCTATTGGATTGAGGACAGTGGAATTCTGTGGACAGCTGAACAGATGTGGCACATCATCCGGATGTGTTTGGCAGAATGGACATATGTTAATGTGTCCACTGTCTATTCTAGTCTTGTAGCTGTTCAAAAGGATGCTGTGGCCGGATCGGAGTTGAGCGAGGGTTTGCCTGGTTGCCTTTGATAGGGTTTTCTCCGATTTGTCTATTTTAGGGGTTGGTGGTGGCCACCCATTGAGCAGTATCGGTGCCTGGTACGACTCGGCGGCGGCTTCGGCGGCGTTACTATGAAGAGTGTTGGATGCAGCCTTTAAAGACTTGTTGATGTTTGCTGGAAGCACCGCTACGACCGTTGATGACCATCTTCAGATGAGAGTGTCCTTGATATCTCGGTGAGGTCGTGGTTGAATGGTAATGATGTTGCATGGGTGGCTTGGTTTGTAACATCGTAGAAGGAATTGTGAGAATAGCAACTCGGAGTGCTGCTTCACTGCTAACATCAGACATTCTGAATGTAAATGCTGCTCGGACGTGATTTTGTGGCAGCCTTACGAGCAGAATGCTGCTTTACGACTTAACCAGTCGTAAAGCAGCATTCTGAAAGCGTTGTAGTCTATCGAGGCTTGAGTTGGACGTCAGAAAGGACCAGGCCGGGCAGGCATACTCAATTGTGGAACGCCCAATGGCTTTGTATATCTGTAGGAGTGTTTCTTTATCCTGGCCATATGTGGTGTCGCTGAGAGCCTTAAGAATATTGTTTCTTTTGGTGGCCTTGGCCGCTGCCATTTTGTGGTGTTGTGTCCAAGGTTAGTCCTAATATTTTCGGGTTGTGTTCCAGCGGTAAAAGCTGGTTGTTTATCTTAATTTGGGGATGGTAGTTGTATTGCGATGTATGAGATGTGAAGAGTGAAACTGTTGATTTAGAAATGGAGATTTGGCTACATAGTAGTTGAAAAGAGTAGGTGAAAGAACAGAGCCCTGGGGTACTCCCGAGCGAATGATGCGTTGTTTGGAAAGATGTTGCCGAAACTCTGTTGATGCGGAACGACCATGCAAATAGTTTGAAAGCCACCGGACAATTGACCTTGGAAGTGATGACGATAGGAGATCAGAAAGGAGGATCTGGTGGTTGACCGTGTCGAACGCTTTCGTGAGGTCCAGAGCAGTGAGGACTGTGCGATGAGCTGGCCTTTTCTGAGCATCATTGCTCATTATCTTCATTGATGATAAAAAGAAGTATAAAAGAGGTAAAAACTTGATCATGCATTGTTTCTATTGCAATATACCGCATATGATGACGCTATTACATTATTAATTAAGCTTAATCTAAAATGGTCAGTCCATTTAATATCGATCAGAGAGAAATTAAAAGGATTGTAAAAGAAAAGCTTATATTTCAAAGGTCTTAATTAAAATATTGAAGTGTTTATAATCATCTATAATGTTATTTTTCAGATTATTTAAATATTTGTTCATTTTATATTGTTTAGATTTCATGAAGTTTGTTTCATGGCAAACGGTCAGCTCGAGTAATTCGATCGTATTTTTGTTGTGGATTGCAATGTCAGGTCGGAGCGATTTAAACAGATCTGTTATTGGACGTACCACTTCTTTTTCCACATCCGCAAAAATTTCGATACCCGGCCTTGCGTTTGTCATGATGTTGTCGATATTTATTGAAAGTTTTGTTGTGGCGATTTGTTGTTAACTACTGAGGTTGAGCCACAATTTGATAGGAAGTGTTTGTTCATTTTTTTTTGCACCGAAAAGCAAATAGGATGCGTTGGTTGTTTTACCTCATTTTAATAGGTTGGTAACTGTTGAATGAGGAATTTTTGGTAAATTTATAAAGAACCTCAAATAATTTTACCGCCAATCTGGACCATCATACTCAGAGCTATTGATGTGTTCTTTTATCCCTTTGATCGGAGAACTTTGGCATTGCAACAGCGAAAGATGATTAAAGTTCATTTCGTTTTGTTGTTGTTTTAAAGCATTAGTTGCCGGTTTTAATTCATCATTTTCAGGAATTATAATAATGATAATAATAATAATGAATAATCTGTTCATCGATCGATCGATCGATCTGTTCAGCTAAAAAAAACCAATGAAAATGACAATAATATAAAACAAAATGACAAGTAGAATAAAATAAAGTAAAATAAAATAACATGTCAACCAAGTAGAGTATTAATTTACTCTACGAATTTCTTCATTCAAAGAGAATGAGTACAACTAGAGTTAATTAGTTTCAAAATTGATTCAGGCACATTTCTATCGCAGTAAATAGCGAACGAAGACGATATTGCAGATTTAATGAGGCTATTGCAAAACTGATCAGACAAAATAATGCTTACAAGAGATAAATTAAATATTGTAATTAGACCTGATGTTGAGATTTCAAATGTATTTATTTTTACTTTTAAATGTTTAAAGTCGTCAATCAAGTTATTTACGCTACCAGAGTATTTAGCTAGTTTATATTTATAATTAAGAAAGTTGGTCTCGTGACAGGCTGTTAATTCCGGTATTTCAATTGTTTCTTCGCCGATGTTGAGCTGTAGTTAGAGAGTACATGTTTGTTAGTTTGTTAATTGCTACATAGTGAACACTGGGCAGTGAAAGACTTTCCCCATCGGGACAGATTTGCATTTATCGGCAGGTGCTGTATCAAACTTTTTCTGACAAATCTGGAAGGCTGGCAATGTATTGCGACCAGTGAGCAATCCGAGCAATAATAATAATAATAACAATAATGGGAACAGATCTTTTATTTTTCATCAAATGCGTAAAGTCAATAATTAATTAATTAATAGAGAAATAGTCATGATTAAAATAAAACTTAAATAAAATCATAATCATCATAGTTAGTCATCATTGCTCTTTATTTAAAATAAAATAAGTACAGCGATGATAAGATAGTTATGAAAATTGATTCACGCATTGTTCCGATCACAATATATGGCATATGATGATGATATCACACTGCTAATTAAACTTTGGCGAAAATATTCGGTCCAAACAATTTTAATTAAAGATAAATTGTAAGAATTGTAAAAGCCAATGGGCGATAATTCAAAAAAATTTATTAAAATAGTATAATGATTAAGGTTGTTTTTGAGATTGGTTGTATATTTGTCGAGGTTGTGTTGCCTGGACTTTACAAAGTTTGTTTCGTGGCAAATAGTTATAATAATAATAATAATAATAATAATAATAATAATAATAATAATATCAATAATATCAATAGTAAAAATAATAATAACAACAATAATAATAATACTTTAAAAGCAAATGGTTAGATAAAATAAATAAAATAAAATAATGTAGCGTTAATAAAACTCATAAAATTAGTAAAAGGGTGTAGGGTGTAGGGTGGTGTAGCTGGCAAGCGTAGTGCTTAAAATATATTTAAATTTGTATCATAGCGTGTTTCCATCACAATAAATATTGTACGAAAATTTTATCAGTTCACTTTAAAATTTGTCATTATATGAATTCGGCCATAAAACTTTAAATAAAGAAGAGTTAAAATTATTCTAAAAGCCAATAGGTGTTATTTCGAACGAATTAATAGTAATCGAGAGGACAAATATCCTCTAGATCTAAGTCGGCAAATATGCTGCAACTTGCACAAATTTGCATGTAGATAGCCAATTATATCTTTTGCATGTAAACCTGCTAGCGGAAAAGTAAGCTGAGTGATGTTTTGTGCTTATCCATTCAGAAGTAAAAGCTTTAGATGAATATGTGCGTTAAGGAGTTAATCTGCTAATTCAAGGCTTGAGAGATAAAGTATGATTTTATTTTTGCAATGGAAGCTAGATCAATTTTTGACAGTGTAAAAGTTCTTGTTTGTTTACTTAATCTCGAGAGTCAGCCTATAGTAAAATTGTGGACAACGTCTAGATGAACAAATTCGTAGTAGACGATCAGTATTTTGATGTTAATTTAGTTAAATTGCGTTTAATTTCGTTTAAATATTAATTGTTAATTTTGTTAATTGAACATTCACTATAATTTAAATATAGATGTAAAATATATAATGTAGAAATGATTAGTTTGAAGAAAAGAAAAATTTTATTGGACCTTAAGTTGTATGTTATTTTAACAATAAAAAATAATAGTTTTTAATAAGTTTACATTTGTATTTTGACATATTTTTTCATTTTCCTCCTTTTTGTTCTTATTGTTATGTTTATGCCAAAACATGTTGCGTTTGCCAGTGTTTGAAGTTTGTAAGAAATAAAAAAAACAATGGTTTTTGAAACCCCAAAACAAAACCCTGACTACATTTAAAAATATTTTTATATATAATAATATACTCAATAAAATAAACAATTACAGGTTTTTTCTTTAACTCCAGATCAATCCATTATTCTCATTCATCCGAAATATATAAAAAAAGCCAAAAGAAAGTTAAATCAATTAAATATCAGTTATGAAGTCATTATTTACGACATGCAACGGTAAAAGACAAAAATGATTATATAAACATTAAAATAAATATAAAACTTTTATTTCAAGGGTTATAAATAAAGAACGTAAATCAATTGATGCGTTACGCAAAACTAGAAAATGGTTCCAATCTTTTCACAGTTTTGATGAGGTTTTGGGTGATGTTTTATTTTCTTGTTTTATAATTTGGAAATTTTTGTTTTATGATGCTTGAATTTTAAAAAATATTTTTTTTATTTAGAAAGAAAACTAATTTTACTACGCTTTTAAAATATAAAACTTTAATTATATAATGAAAATAATTAATTCAGTTACTTATTTGGATGGAAGAAACAAGTAAACGTTTTAAAAAGTACTGTTCATTGTTTGATGTTGGTAAGTCATTCCACGGAAAACCTTTGAGGGCGTTAAAAGTGAGTGTCGAATCTAATTTGGCAAAATTTTCGGTCATTGCTTTAAAATTATGTCTTATAAAATAAATAAAAATAGTAGTAGAATTTGTAAGAATAAAATAAATGATTGGTAAACAAGGGTAAATAAACAAACATAGGACATAATTCATACGTGGATAAAAGAAAACCGCTGAAATGAGTTGACTTGATAATTTAGATGATGTCTTGAAGAATTGTTAAAAGCATTATTCAACAGAGACTACAGCAGAATAAAATATACTCCGAAACTACAACGACACCGACAAAATGTGTACATTACAAAAATCACATGTCCACGGCACATAAAATAGATAAAACCTCCTTAAATACATCATAAAAAGAAACGTTACACCAATCAATGATACTAATAAAAATAAACTCAGGATATACTACAACAATTGTAAGACGTCACAATTGGTCCTAAAGAAAAACTGCACTCCTAAAAGACGATTCCACGTTGAAGCGTAATTATGTAATAGCCTATGTGAATTTGAATGCTCTATTGACGACTGCGCGCGTCAACAACATTCGTATATTGGTGTTATGACCACTTCACTATCAAGACGTCTCCCAATGCATACACAAAGAGAAGCCATCAAATCTTACAATCAGCACATGCAACACCAATGATCCGCCAAATTCTTGACAACAACACAAAAATAATTTATCAAAACAACAACCCAATACACTTAAAAATTGCAAAAGCTGTTCTTATACATATCAATAAACCCCAAATAAACATCCAACAAAGAATGATTACATCATTACCAACTTGTGCCTTAATATTAAATCCAACAACAATGAAAAACAAGAAAGTGACAACAACAAAAAATATGAAGAATATGACACCAACTAAGTAAATAACTTTTCAATTCAATTCAATTAGCTTTTTATTCAGTAAACCAACACATGACAATAACATAAGCCAATCACTAGGAGACCTGAAGCTTTCGCTTGTGGGGCCACCAAGTCCGAATAAATGAAAAGTAATGTTCAGTAAGAATCAAAACGATAAAAATAATAACTAAGAAAAATAAAAATATCTAAACAACAAAGAATAATGCCTAGGAAAAATAGAATGTAACACAAAAATGATAAAGCCAAATAAAACAAAATTTAATTTAATGATAATGAAACAAAGATCAAAGATAATGACAAAAATAATGTAAAAGAAAAATGATGTTACCAATTAAAACAAAATTGAAAATTAATGATAATGAAGCAAAGTATGATCAAAAATACTGACAAGAGTGGGCACACATAAGTAGTAACTTACATATGCATGTCCACAAGTAAATATATACATACATGCGAATGTACACAAAGTATAAAGGTGACTGATATGATCAAATTTACGCAAGCCAAACAAAATTCTTAAAAAATAATATTGACATAAATTAAGAACATGAATAAACCCCAAATCGAAACACAATATGCTTTGTCTAATCTAAAAAAAACAATATAAACCAAAATTGTACTAAAAATAATGTGCGAAAAATGTGTATATATATATATATTTATATCTATATATAGTCAAAGTCAATATTTCCCTATATATACAGCAAGAACCACTGATGATGATTCATTCGGAATCGAAATATGGCCTTATTTGCAGTATGAATTCTAAAAAAAAGTTTATTTTGAATTTTAATAAACAAAACGTTCACCAAAAAACTTTAGTGAGAAAAATCGAAAAAACGAACTACAAACATATTAACGCTAAACATTCGGTAGAATTTATAGAATATTGTATATATATATATATATATATATATATATATATATATATTTCTTTATATTCTATCGCCATAGTATTATTTATTCATTTTAATTTCTTTATTTTTCTAATAATAGATTGTAATTTATTATTTAGAAAATTAATTATTTAAAAATTAACAATGCACAAACAAAATAATGCTCTAAAAACACTTAATGGATAATCATAATATAATGTTAAATAGAAACATTTTAGATAATAATACTAAAATTTTATACCGTAATAATAATTACTTTGAACTAAAAATAGCCGAATCATTACGAATCATTATTTATAGACAACTTTAAAACAATAATCAATATTCAACAAAAACAAAACAAAAACAAGTAAATATTATCCCTACTAAAAGAATTTTACTTAATTTTAACTATAATAATTATATTATTGATAATAATCTTACTAATACTACTACTGCTATTACTATTGCTAACTAAAATTATTAATTCTATGTCGTCTACAACCTGTTCTCTAAATCTACTTCCTTCTAATTTACTTAAAGAATTTTCTTCAATATTTTATCCAATCATTGTCAAATTAGTTAATTTATTTCTTTCCACCTCTAAATTTCCTACTTCTTATAAGAATTCTATTGTTATTCCTATTCTTAAAAACTCATCTCTAGATCCTACCTCTTTATCTAATTATAGACCTGTAACTAATATTACTTTCATCTCTAAAATAATAGAAAAAGTTGTTTTTAATCAACTGTCATCCTATTTAGACTTTAACTCTTTGCTACCTGTAAAATAATAGAAATAAAAGAAAATAATAGAAAATCTCTAAAATAGTAGAAAAAGTTGTTTTTAATCAACTGTCATCCTATTTAGACTTTAACTCTTTGCTACCTGTAACTCAATCTAGTTTCAGACCTGTTTACAGTACTGAAACTTCTTTACTTAAAATACACAATGATATCCTTCTCTCTAGTGACAACAGTAATCTTACTCTTCTTCTTGCTCTTGACTTTTCCTCAGCTTTTGATACTGTTGACCATACTATTCTCATGAGACTGCTCTTGGTTTACTTCTTATCTCTGTAATCGTTTTTCTTTTGTTGTTCTCAATAATTCTACTTCTAACTCCTCTACTCTTACTTTCGGGGTACCTCAGGGATCTATCCTTAGCCCTCTTCTATTTATACTCTATACTTCTGAACTACCTCGTATTATTAATAACTTTTCTTTCTCTAGTCAACTATATGCTGATGATTCTTACACTTATACTTCTTTTCCTCCATCTAATCTCAATAGTGTTCTTTATAATTTATCTCTGTTTTTCTTCAATTATCGCTTGGTCTGACTCTATGTGTCTTAAACTTAATCCTTCTAAGTTTGAAATAATTTTGTTTTAATAAATCTAAACACTCTATTACTATTCCTTCTATTATCTTACCTGACTCTAAAACTCTTGATTTCTCTCATAAGTTTCGTAGTCTAGGTTTTATTTTTGATTCTACTATGTCTCTCTCTTCTCAGATTAATAGTGTTGCTAGAAGCTCTTACTTTCATCTACATAGAATAAAAAAACTTTTGCCTTTTCTTGATGATCATACTCTTCTCCTTCTTGTTACTTTGTTAGTCTTATCTAGGATTGATTATTGTAACTCGCTCTACTATGGTCTTCCTGACTCTATACTCTATCCTTTAAGTAAAGCTTTTAACTCTGCTGCTCGTCTAGTTGCTCGTGCCCCTTTCTTTTCTCATATATCTCCATATCTTGTTCTCTTGCACTGGCTACCTATAAAATATAGAATAATTTTTAAAATTTGCACGTTCATGTATAAGTCTCAATCTAAATTATTTCCTAAGTTTTTATCAGATATATTAATTGAACCTAAACGCCCCGATTTACGATCGTCTTCTTCTTCTCGCTTTTTCTTAACTCGTGTTAAACACTCTTTTGCCAAATCTGCTTTTGCTTTTTCTGGTCCTTTTCTCTGGAACTCTCTACCTACTTTTCTGACTACTTCTCCATCACTTGCGAAGTTCAGAGCGGATCTCAAGACCCATCTGTTTTCAAAATTCATTGAGGAGCGCTGTTGAACATCGCGGAAATAGCGCTTTATAAGCTAATTGATTGATTGATTGCTAATGCCACTCTTACCGCTAATACTAGTACTTCTACTAATGCTACTACTAATAATAATTATAATGATAGTGGAAACAATTGTAGTGATTGTTATGGTGATATTGATGATGATGATAATATTATTATTAATAATAATAACACTTCATAATTGGACAATATTCTTACTTATATGTATATTTTTATTTGATATTTTATTTGATTTTATTTGTCTGAAACCGAAACAGGAGACCCGAAGTTTAGCTTATTGGGCCACCTTAAACCGAAACAAAATTAATCACGGTAATAACATTCAAAAAACGGAAATTGAAACAACTGCAATAAAACTAAAACTGAAATAAATAACGCCAGACTGCACAGTGCACATACACAAATATACAAATAATAATAAATTACCAGCAAGATGAAATTAATAAGCTGAATAAATTAAAGAGATTCAACAATACGCACAATATCAAGAAAAAAATACACACACTTACACATACACACAAATTTTTCAAACAAGGGGAAAACGATTAGCTATAATGAGCTGATTAATCTGATGATCAAAACAGACCCAAAGAAGAACAGTTCTTTGTATCAACTGGTAGCATATTTTACTCATAGAACAAGACAAAGTAAAATTAATGAAAAAATTAGTCCTAGGCTTGGAAAAATAAAAATCAGAAATAAAACTTAAGAAATTTCGCTTAGTGTTCTTAAACAATGCGAGTTGGTCATAAAAAGAATGACAAAAATTTAATTTAAAAATATAAAAGTAATAAATGTTTTTAATATGAAGTTGTTTTATATTACAAATGTTATCTATAGTTTACGGAAAAAAATTGTTATTGAACGAGTTAGGATTGTTAAAAGTGGAAAAACCTAAATTATCGCCACGTGGTAATACAAAGTTAGACAATATAAATGATATTGTAGAATTTTTTAAGTTTATTTTAGACAATATGTATTGACAAAATGGCAACACTTGTTGTTTTCATTGTTAAAAAAGAGTTTTTGCATATTCAGTGGATAATTTGGACAAAATTATTGATGTCAAACTCAAGCTGGTTCATGCATAAATAAGCAACTTGGAAGAAGAAGGTAAAATTAATAACAACAAAACTGAACACATACGTACAACCTTG